AAATAAAAAAAATTAATATATTTAAAGCTTTTACTTTAAAATATATTTAATTTTTATAGCTAAAAAGTTTTTTATTAATAAGGCCCCTTTTATTAGGCTTTACGTTTTATTAAGCCTGTTTCGTGTAATAACCATTGCGGAACTGCATATACAGTGGCGTAAAGCTAGTTCGGAGTGGCGCCAAGTCCCCAGGCGCATTCGGCAGAAGTGCCACACAGACGTTACTTCCATGTCCCAACACAAAAGCCTGCATGTGCTCGGGGCTGTGAGCTTCCAGCTCCCACTTCCAGCTCCCACTTCCCACCACGGTCTCGTGACTGAAACTTTCATGTTTCGTCTTTTCAATCGTTATGCATTCCACTTTCAGACTTCCCTATTACACTCCAGGCAGTGCCTGCATGCGCCGATTTGCGGTCTAACAATGGCACTCGAAAATTTAGCTTGGCAGATACGTACATGTTCAAGGCTGGCCATTTTAAAATCCATGAAAAAGCGGCAATTTCGTTTCATTATTATTAGCGTTTTAATTTCTCTAAGTCTCATCAAATATCTTTTTTTTGCCTACGGTCGTTCTGGCCCCCAAACTTGGACGGTCGAAACAGTCGTTCACCAAAAAGCCATCAAAACCTCGCACAATCCGCAATATTCCTTGATACCGTTCCCTGTCTCGCCGCTTGAAAGAATTCACGACACATCAGACCACAAAGTACGTCGTCCATGGCTGGCGGCAGTTATATGTGCGGCCCAGGATGTTGAACGACGAATGTTAATACGATCAACGTGGATGCGGCTGTTTCGACATGTCCCGTTTGATCCTCGTTTTGTTGTGTCCAACCCAGGCCCCGGCTGGAGTGAGATGATTCGGTTTGAAAATCGCACATTTGGCGATTTAATTGTCCTCGACCATATCCCCGAAGATGACATCACCGCCAATACCATCAAAACCCTTGAATTATACAAATGGCTTATAAAACATGGATCCAAGTACGAATTTGTGACCAAATTAGACACCGATGTTTGGATCAATGCTCCTGCGTTCTGGGAGAAGTACCTGGTCCCTAGGTTATCCAACCAGACGGGTCATCTAACAGCTGCTGTAAACCGAACCGTTATTGGGCAGCTCTATTTCTCAGACTCGGGATACAATACCTTCGCACATGGGTCAATGTACACAATCACCTGGGATATGGTGCAATTACTAGTTTCGCTGCAGGAGAGGTTTAATGTCTTGACCGGTGAGGACGCAGCTGTCGGTATCCTAATGCACAAGGGATCTCAGACGGCAAACTTTGTCAACTTTCGTGGCGACGAGAAGTTTGATTACGACGATTCCGACTCTAGAGAACATGACTTCGCGTGGGCAAGGGCCGGCACTCACCCTCATGCGATATCGCACGCAGTCTATGGAAGCAATGTTATTGCTGTCCACAAGCTGAAAGACAAACGCCTTTGGAGAAAAGTCGCCAACTGCTTTAGTCAAGGGGGCATTAACCCCATGCCACCATTACAAAGGCCTGAACGGAGACTATCCCTTCGGACTCGCTGGAACGACTGGATGCATTCAATAGGACTCTCAAGACCGTACGTATCAATGATGGAAACGATTCCAAAAGCGCTCCTAACCTACGACATCGATCATTGGGTGTGCGATAATATCTGGAATTTAGGAGCATCCCAAGAAGGATTCAATACTTACGTGGCAGATGCCAACGTTGTTTGAAATTGTTACTGTTACACGGAAAAGGCCCAACAGATCGTGAAGCCCAACAAAGGGGCTTCACCGATACGGGACTTGTTAGTTACACAGCTTAAACACGTGCCTAGGCCAGAGCCCTAGGCCTGGGCGTTTCTTTTATGTATATAAAGCGGCTACTTTTCCCTTCTTGCCTTTTAGCAACTCAAGATCTTAGAGACCCTTCGAGATTATTATTGAATTGAGCCCTTGTCACAGAAATTGTACGTCATGATCTGGGGTCAAGGCTCTCTGTTTTACATACTTCAGGTTATTAATACCAGCGTTCGTTAATAGTTCTACTAAATTGCTCCGCAAAAGCCGAAAATCACCCTAATACCTGCAGCTGTCAATATTGCTAATGTCGCCTGTCCATTTTGCGAGACGAATTTGTTACAAGATATCTTTCAATCTATGTTGAGTATTTGAACTCGTCATGAACAGCTTTTCCATCAGCACATCTCATAGAAGTGATGCTCTTTTATATTCAACAACCCACATCATGCCCATGTCGTCCCCTTGCACATCTCCTGCAAATGGTACGTATCTCGACATCCAAAGTCTACCCAGTCTCATCGCAGTGCATCATAACGCTACAAAGAGCTGCTACCGTGCAGTGTGGCTACCATTCCACACTAGTCCTCTGCTATTGCAATACATCCGTCGTCAAATTGCCCAAAGTCAATCACAAAACAAGCGCTTGCAGAAAAGACGAGCCAGCCAACAGACGAGGCGCGCGCAAGCTCGCACCCCTAGACTCTCCATTTGAAGCCTTGCCCCCGTCTCCAGCACCCCTTCCCGCCGTGCCGTTTGAAGAAACAACACGCTGCTGCAGAGCGTTCTGAAGCGGCGTGTGCGCCCCGATGTACGCGACGAGAACCTGGTCCAGCGACTCGAGGGTGACAAACTCGGTAGCGGGCTTGAGGAGATTATCGCCGCCGCCGGCGACAAAATCGACCGTGACGACATTGTAGTCGGTCTTGTCGTCCAGCGCCTTGCCGCCGACGGTAGCCCTGACCAGCCTGGACCCGGCGTCTCTGCTCTCGTTGTACTCGACGACAATGTTGCCAGAGACCTGGAACCAGGAGGATGTCTTTTTCTGATTGAACTGGCTGACGCGGGAGACGCAGCCTTCGAGAATCTTGCGCAGATCGGCACCAGAGTACTTGAGTTGGGTGACGGCGTTGCCGAACGGGAACGAGGTGATGACTTGTCCGCGGGTAATGTTTCCCTCGTCAATGGTGGCCCGGATGCCGCCGGCGTTGATGATGGCGAAGTCGGGCCTGTCGGCGGTGCCGTTGGTCTGGTTCTGGCGGTACTCGAGCATTGCATCGGTAATGACTTGGCCCAGCAGACAGTCGCCCTTTTGGCACGTCGTCTGGTCCAGGACGTTCTTTGTGCTCCCGATGACCTCGGCGGCGTACTTCTCAAAGGGGCCTCTCCAGGCGGTGATGTTTTTTTGGAGGTTCTTTTCTAGGGAGGTGGTGTTGTCCATGTGGATGGGTGCTCCGTGATAGGACAAGGCCCTGCCGTTCTCATCAAAGGTCATCTCGATTGAGCCCAGGAACTCGCCCCATCGGTAGGAGGTGACGACAAAGACTTCATTGCCGCCCTTGTCCTTGACAATGGTAGGGTATTTGCCCTCGGCCTTGTCCATGTTGCCCAGCAATGTGTGGCTGTGGCCGCCAATGATGAGTGAGAGGCCCTCCGTTTGCTGGGCAAGCTTCTGGTCTACCTCGTAGCCGAGGTGGGTGAGTGCCACTATGCGCTTGACCTTGGTTGTGTTACGGATCTCATAAATGGCCTTTTGGATCTCTGGAATCGGGTCAAGAAAGGTGGTTCCCTTGCCAACATTGGCAATGTTGGGCGTGGTCTCGGTCGTGGCACCAATAACGGCGAGATCATGCTTTTCGAAGATGTGGTAGTTCTTGATGGTCTCGTTCAAGTCCTTGACGGTGCTCTTGACGTTGCAGGAGACGATGGGGAAAGTCAAGTTCTTCAAGAACTTGCCAAGATTCTCGTCGCCTCCGTCCCATTCGTGGTTGCCGAGGGTCATGGCATCGAATTTCAGGTCGTTGATAGTCTCGGCAATCTTTTCCCCGCCATAGAAGGTATAGAACAGGGTGCCTTGGAATTCATCGCCTGCGTTCAGCCACAGGTGGTCAGGGTTCTGTTTCCGCAGCTCATGGACCTTGGTCTTGATGCGGGCGTAGCCTCCGAAGCAGCCTTTTGTGGCATCTGTGCAGTCTGCGCCGGCTTTGGTGTACTGGTCCAGATGGGCATGGACGTCGTTGACGTGAAAGAATGCTAGCAGTTCAAGGTTAGTTGAGCCATCTCGCGTCAATACATATGTGAAGGTATCGATGCTTTTGGCAGCGGAGACATCATACAGAGATTGTAATTGCCGTTCGGGAGCAAGCCACGCTTCGAAAAGCGACTGCTGTAAAGAACATCATCGGCGAGGGCAACAGGGCCAATTGCCAATACGGCCAGCGTCGCAGCGATCTTCATGTTGTGTAGGATGCTAGTACTACGCACTTCAAAATGCCAGAGATCAACTGTGCGTCGGTTCTTGGATGCAGCGCCCTTCTCCCAGAGCCAATGCAACCGGACGAGCTCCAACAACAACAGCGAACACGGCTGTGCAAGATAAGATTCAGGCCCTGGCGACGGAAAGTTCAAATGAAGAATGGGCCTATTTAATCGGTCGGCGCCATTCAATCTTACTAAACAGAGTCACACACCTTGTCCTTCAGCTACGACGGCCACGTGCCCCAACGATGTATGCGGGGTGAGGCGCATGAAGAGAGGTCAAAATAGTGACGGCGATCTGGCAAAAGCGACGGGTTGGACCTGGAAGCTTTTCGTTTAAAACCTAGTGCCTAGCCGATACGACGGCGGCATTGTCCGCACGTGGATGCAGTCATTGGTCTGAGGTCCAAGACGGAGATGGGAAGGTGGGCTTTCGCCGTCCAGGACCAAGCAACCAACACGGGAGGGAGGGAAAATGTCTCAGCTGTGCCTCGCGTGGACAACAATATTCGATACTTATATAGGCTGCAGCGGAATCCTTTGGTCAGCAAACCGGCCGACTTGGCTGTCTCCAGTGTCATCGTCAGGCGAAGCGACGGGCAGGCCGGCACGAGGTGGCCGACACGTCTAGCCAATTGTTTGGTGCCGAAATAAACTCATCCGCCACCTCCTCGTTTAATTCTGATAAGCTTAATATGACGTCTGGGATGTCTTGACCAGACCAGACGGCAAATACTCAGGCACCACCCATCTACCGCCTTTTTGTCGTCAACATGTAACGGCGTACACGTACGGTGACGTACCAAGGTTGTTTCTACGGACCGCACCTGGCCCATTCCGAATTTCGAATACAATTCTTCCCCCCGCGGCCGTGGCTAATTGTCCATGTACGACTTCACGGGAAAATAAAGTCTGACACTGCCCATTCCCCAAACCACCCAAGCTGTGTTCCCATAACCTCCCGCCCAACTCCGTATAGCCGGAACCTGACCCCCACGCGCCTTTTACCAAGCCACCAGACTTATAACAATAACGCAACTTCTCCTCTCTTCGCAGCTTCTGAATGCTCACAGTGACATGTTGAAAATGATATTTGACTCTTCAGAGACTCTTTCGCCCTGGAACGCAGTTCCTTCGGCATCCCTTGGGGAACTAGTACTTGAACGAAACACTCCTGCTAGATGATTCCGCAGTGTTGAGAACGACGGCCGCCACTCCAGCGAAGACGGCGAAGGTGAAGTAGAAGAAGAAGAAGACGACGACGACGGCGGCGACATATCGGATGAACCAGGATGTATATACAAAGGCGCATATCTCGGCCCCCCTACATCGAATATGTTTCCTATAGCCCGTCTAATGCCGTGTCGGGTCCGGCCTCCGGCTCCCTCAATATCAATGTGAGTGGTCTTTGGCCTTTCACGTGGTGGCTGTGGCGCTTCTGTTTCCGTCCCTGGCTCTGCTTCTGGCAACGATTCCGATTCGGTAGCCGCTATCGAGCTCGTCAAACTGCTGAAGCCATTCTCAGCCACGGACTGCCGCTCGGCCGAGTCTAGACGTCCACATCTGTTTCCTGCTCGCGTACTGCGCTTCAGGCAAGCAAATGCCGCCAGCCAAAAGAATACGACACCCAGGGGCACGAAAAGAAAGACGAGATTACTCATGTTGTGGGCAGTTTCACCGCAAAGTCAAGCTGTACATCGGGCAAGCTCAAATTCAACTTGGTATCTTGCCTGCCATAAATTCACCAAACTTGAGCTATTTGTATCTCTCTGCCAACAATGACAAACTGATTTGGATACAATGAGTGATTGACCACTATGCCTTTGTGGTCCGCACAATTGATTCATCCGTTTGCATAGCGGGTAGCACACAAGTCACTCGCGACTATTGTATTTCCATTGTCATCGTAATCACCATGTATTACAAAGCACTAAATCCCTAGGCAATTAAACACTCGCATGCTAATCGCGTCAAAGCCGCAGACATAACGTCATCAAGGTTTAATAGGTATATCTGAAATCGGCAGCCGAGGTTTCCTGTGCACGGTTAGGGTTGGTGTTCTCTCACGCACCATCGAGATGCAATAGGGCGGGTGTCCTTACATTATCGTCGCTCTCCAACAACTTCTCGCCCCTGTCGGCCTTCTTATTTTGTCGGAAAAACTCCAAATCACAAACGCAAACCAGGATAACGTTGAGAAGCGCACAGGCGATGCATGCATACATGCCGGGTTTGTAACCAGTAAGTTTGTCCTGCTCTCGGAACACAAGACTGCCACAAATGCCGCCGATGCCGCCAAAGCCAACAAGCGTGGCACTGCAAAAGGCTCGCTTCCACTGGCCACGCACATTGTTGGCCTGAAAAGACATCGTAGCAGGAACATTGCTGTTGGCGCCGGCTGTAACGAGGAAAACGCCAAAGTATCGTACGGCAGCCTTGGAGTGCCAGCCCATTAT